TGTTAGGATGAGCCTAAAGTAGCTTTTACTGTAGGTCTAATTTAGACCTAGTACTAAATTAAATACTAAATGTTACTTAGTCATGTGGGCCCTTTACCAGTTGTTCCACTTATAGATCCTTAATAATTATTTTCCCAAACTCATAAAATTTCACTTATTCAATTAAATTTTTATTATTCAATAAAAAACTCAGAGGGGACCCTATCAGATTTCTAGGGTGTTTCTCCACACAGGTCCATCATATTTGCACTGAATTAGTCTGATTTCACTCTGCTGATAAAAACATACTGAAGACTGGGCAATTTACAAAAGAAAGAGGGTTATTGGACCATAGTTCCACCTGGCTGGGAAGGCCTCACAATCAGTGCCTCCCCAAGGAGGCACAAGTCACATCTTACATGGATGGCAGCAGGCAAAAAGAGAGGTTGTGCAGAGAAGCTTCCATTTTTAAAACCATCAGATCTTGTGAAACCCCTTCACTATCAAGATAACAGCATGGGAAAGACTCACCTTCATGATTCAGTCATCTCCCACCAGGTCCCTCTTACAACACGTGGAAATTATAGGAGCTACAAGATGAGATTTAGGTGAAGAAACAGAGCCAAACCTTATCATTCCACCTCTGGCCCCTCCCAAATCTCATATCTTCACATTTCAAAACCAATCATGCCTTCCCAACAGTCTGCAAAAGTCTCAATGCATATCAGCATTAACTCAAAAGTCCATGGTCCAATGTCTCCCCCAAGATGTGGCAAGTCCCTTCTGCCTATGAGCCTTTAAAATCAAAAGCAAGTTAGTTACTTCCTAGACACAATGAGGGTACAGTACTAGGTAAATACAGCTGTTTCAAATAGGAGAAATTGGCCAAAACATAGAGTCTACAGGCCCTATGCAAGTCCAAAATCCAGCAGGGCAGTCAAATTTTAAAGTTCTAAAATGTTCTCCTTGGACTCCATGTCTCACATTGAAATCACACTGATGCAAGAGGTGGGCTCCCAAGGCCTTGGGCAGCTCTACCCTGTGGCTTTGCTGGATACAGCCTCCCTCCTGGCTGCTTTTACAGGCTGGTGTTGAGTGTATGCAGCTTTTTCAGGTGCATGGTGCAACCTGTTGATGGATCTACCATTCTGGGGCCTGGAGGACAGTGGCTCTCTTCTCACAAATCCACTAGGTGATGCCCTAGTAGGGACTCTGTGTGAGGGATCTGACTTCATATTTCCCTTCTGCACTGCCTAGCAGACATCCTCCATGAGAGACCCACCCCTGCAGCAAACTTCTACCTGGGCATCCAGGCATTTTCATACACCTTCTGAAATCTAGGCAGAGGTTTCCAAACTTCAATTCTTGACTTCTGTGTACTTGCAGGCTCAATACCACATGGAAGTTACCAAAGCTTGTGGCTTGCACCCTCTGAAGCCATAGCTTGAGCTCTACATTGGCCCCTTTCAACCACAGCTGGAGTGACTTGGAGACAGGGCACCAAGTTCCTAAACTGCACATAGCAGTTCCTGGGCCTGACCCCAAGAACCACTTTTTCCTCTTAAGCCTCCAGGCTTATAACAGGAAGAGCTGACCCTAAGACCTCGCACACCCTGGAGATATTTTCCCTATTGTCCTGGTCATTAACATTCAGCTCCTTGCTACTTACACAAATTTCTGCAGCTGGATTGAATTTTTCCTTGGAGAATAGGATTTTCTTTTCTATTACATTGTGGCTGCAAATTTTCCAAACTTTTATGCTGTTTCCCTTTTGAAACTGAATGCCTTTAACAGCACCCAAGTCACTTCTTGAATGCTTTGGTGCTTAGAAATTTCTTCTGCCAGATACTCTATATCATTTCTTTCAAGTTCAAAGTTCAACAAATCTCTCGGGCAGGGGCAAAATGCCTCCAGTCTCTTTGCCGAAACATGAGAGTCAGCTTTGCTCCAGGTCCCAACAAGTTCCTCATTTCCATCTGAGATCACCGCAGCCTGGACCTTATCGTTCATACCATTATCAGCATTTTTCTCAAAGCCATTCAACAAGTCTCTAGGAAGTTCCAAACTTTCCCACCTTTTCCTGTATTCTTCTTGAGCCCTCTAAAGTATTCCAACTTCTGCCTGTTACCCAGTTTCAAAGTTACTTCCACATTTTCGGGTATCTTTTCAGCAACACCCCATGCTACTGGTACCAATTTAGTGTTAGTAAGTCACATCTTACAAGGATAGCTGCAGGCAAAGAGAGCTTATGCAGAGAAACTCCTGTTTTTTAAAACAATTAGATCTTGTGAGACCCATTCACTATCATGAGAACAGTATGGGAAAGACCACCCACCCCCTCATCCCTTATGATTCAATCATTTCCCACCAGTCCCTCCCACAACATGTGGGAATTATGGGAGCTACAAGATGATATTTGGGTGGGAACGCAGAGCCAAACCCTACCACACACATTGTTGGAAAAACCACAGCCACTTCAGCTTTCTAATCTCTAATAGCCATCTCCTCTCTATTAGAGAGTCAATCATTCTATACCTGGATTTCTTTCTCACAACTGTTGTTCAGAATGCCTTCATACAGAAAGCAGGGGAGATCGGAGGGCTTATCTTATGTATTTACCTTCTCCCAGAGGTCACAATCCTTCACTACCTTTTGATCAATGTTTACAAACACTAGTTTTTTACATTTTGTCCAGTTTCATAGTTCTTTATGTTGGGAGAGAAAGTACAGTTGTAGTTATCTGTCATGGCTTGGAGATGAAATTCTCTTCTTAGGTGTGTTTTTAAAAGTCTAGACATACGTTTTCTATAATACAGCTATATCCTTAACAGTAATGAGCTGTATGTAACACTCAGATATTGATACAATAATAGAAAGTGACTTTTTTTTTTTCTGAGATCGAGTCCGCATTTGGTGCTCAGGCTGGAGTGCAGTGGCACAATCTCGACTCACTGCAACCTCTGCCTTCTGGTTTCAAGCAATTCTCCTGTCTCAGCCTCCTGAGTAGCTGGAACTACAGGCACATGCCACCATGCCTGGCTAATTTTTATATTTTTAGTAGAGACAGGGTTTCACCATACTGATCAGGCTGGTCTCGAACTCCTGACCTCAGATGATCCACCTGCTTTGGCCTCCCAAAGTGCTGGAATTACAGGCATGAGCCACTGTGCCCAGCCTCAAGTGACTTTTGATAGATAGTGAGGAGATGGGCAAGTGAGTTACATTTACATGCTAACCAGTAATGATATGTTAAATGATAAACAGGGCCATCACTGATGAGCAAAATGATTACATTTGAGTAACTTTTAAAGGAAAGAGTAACTTTTGTACAATGATAAACCGTAAGACTTGAATTATACACATATACAAAGAACAGGTGTGTATTTCAGAGAGGAGACTCATTAATGAAAATAAATAGCCTGCTAAATGAAAGAGTGGGGATTACTAAGGATGAGCAACTAGGCTTCTGGCCAAAATACTGACAACTAAGAATGATTTTCAACTCAACACAAAAGGATACTTGGCCCAGTGTATATAAAAGAAAATGGGGTAGAGAAATCTGTGATGAATGGAAAATGACCAGGCAATCACAAAAACCAAAGGCACCTCTGAGGACCACTGAGCTGCCTAAACTGTTTTAGTAACATTCCTAGGGCATCTATGGAGAGGAAATAGAGAAATCAGTGCTGTGAGGTTAAAAAAATATATTCATGTCTATTCTCTTCTGAAAGCTCTGGAGCACACAACAAAACACGTTACAGAGTCATAGAGGAGAGAAGTTTGCTCTTTTCACCACACTGAAGTTTTCCCACAGACCAAGAGCACCGTGATGCCAAGTCTGTTTAGTAAAATCTGTTTAGAAAGCAGTAACAGAGTGAGAATGCAGAGCTGCCTGATTTGCAAAAATCAAGACATCTAGTGCTATGAACCAGATATATAATTTCTGTATCACCTCAATTCTATCCAATAAGCTCTACAAACATGCTATGGTAGAATTTTAGACTAGAAACTGGGGAAATAAAAGCACCCCAACTTATTATATTCCTTGAGTAACTTACAATTTGGGAAAATAATCTGAGATTAAAAAAAGCATTCAAAATTTTGGTCAGTAATTATTTGTAATTTATCTTAGTGAGAAGATATAAAATCACATGGAGTAAGGTAATTAGCAAAATTTATAAAAAAGTTAAATTTTAATAGGATTAATGCAGAATAAAAGTTTAATATAATATGATGTACTTTTAAAATTTATAACTTAGTAATATTAATATAAAATGTTGGGTTTAGTAAAGCCTACAAAGGTCATCAAGGATGACTTTCTTTTTTACAGAATTCTGTTTTTATTTTCTGTAGTATTTCAAGGTTCCAATAACAAAAAAACCCTTAAATTTCATATGTAGTTCAACTATTTCATGCAGCTTAGAATTTTATTATTAATAGCTATAGAACTTTAATTTTTAGATTCATGATCTTGAGAAAGGACGAACATGAGATCATTGTGCCGACAAAGGAAAGACGAAGTCAACGTGATTAACGGTTCTTCTGCCAACTCAGATTGCAATTCTGGGTTGCTGAGTTATACCCATTTTATTTAAAAAATACTCCACCATTGTGTAAACATGAGTTGAGATTTTCTTCTTTTGTCTTTATTATAGATAAGAGTATAAGACAATAAATGAGGCTTCATATAGTTTTTAATCACTGATATGAAAAATGAACAATGATAGTTGAACATACATATTGAACTTATCTAAAATATGATAATTTGCTTTAAAAGTCTTTTAAAGCAAATTCTTTAAAGAATTTAAAGGTTCTTTAAAAGGTCTCTCAGGCATATAGAGAGTTTCTGGGACCTATAAATATGGGTAATACATGGTAAAATTCAGAATTATCATTAATGTGGAAATAAAAGATTCCTTGGAAATGTTAAAATAGCATGAAATTACTTTTTTCCCTCAAATCTGTAATTAGACTCAATAGTCCTAAAGGGTATTGAGTAATAAGGGTTCCCAGAAACCTACCTATTCCACACATTTCTTCACATTCTTCCAGACTGTCAAATCGATTCTGATTTCCTTCACATCCCCCATATATAAATTCTTCACACCGTCGAGTGAAAACATTGAAGAAATACCTCTTCATCCACGCTTTACATGGGCCATCATCCGCCTTAAATGCACAAAACGTATGCCTAAATTTCAGTGGTGGCAACTCAGTGTCTATAAGGTAAAAATAAGAGATATAACATGTCACCCTTCATCAACACTGTAATAATGTTCCTTATTTCCTTTTTAATATGTCCTGATTTTAAGGAAAAATGCCATAACACATGCTGATAAGAAACTATAAAAAGTTACTCAGTTATCAAAATGTAAGACAAAGTTAATACATTCACCAAACGAGACACGACTTCTAGACTCTTGTTTGAGAGGTATTGCTTAAATCTCAGGAAGTGAACTGGGAGGGAATTGAGTAGTACTTGTAAGGTAACTTCATTCAAGTGGATGTGTCAGCAATAGACCCCTTCTTTTAACTCAGACAATGGACAGTTCTTTGAGTTTCTCTCCTTAACTCACAGTTGTGTCACTCTTCATACATAAAACAACAGCATATTCACATTCATATATATATATATATATATATATATATACACATATATGTATATATATATATACACACACATCTATGTATATAATACCATATTAAACCATTCCCTAATTATGAAAATTTATGTTTGATGTTACAAAAAATAAACTGCGTGGTGCTTTTCTTTTTTACTTACCATACCATGCTTGGGTTTTAATATTGTTGAAATAACGTAAATAATGCTTTCTATGTTTTACATAGAATGAGGCAATTCTTTTGACTTTGAATTACATATTTTTTCTTTAAATATTTAACTACTAATTGTAACAACAGAGTTTTCTATCCTGGGAATGGGTATACACATAGAGGAAATTCAACTAGATTTTTAAAACGTTTTATTTTTTTCATGTCCAATAAAATTAATAGAAATCTAATGTTAAATAAGTTCTATTTGTTTACCAGTAAAGATAGACACAAAAATTGTGGTTGGTGCAACCAAAAGAATAATGATGAAAATGCTATATAATACAGCTTGAATATTTTCTGTATATTGAGTCCATATATTTTCTTTGTCTTTGGCAATTGATTATTATGTGGAATATTGAAATTGGTAAATGACCTAAACCAATTTTCCCTTAGAGGGAAGCAATACTATATTAAACAGATGAGTATAAATATCTTCAAAAAAAGTGTTTTCATGCATTCTAAAATAGTTTACTTTGAACAACAAAAAAAAGAATGGATGAGACTTTAATATTTTCACATAAAATATTTTTAAAGCATAAAATATGGGATAAGTTTGTGGATGTATGATTGTCTAAATAGAAATCCATTTTAAATTTCCTGTAATTTCAGCCCATGAATTTTTTTGAAAGAGAAAATATGCATGTCATAAAAGTTAAATTAGATAATTTTATTAATTTCATTCCACCCATAATGTATTATTATTTTAATTATCAATTTTGAATTAATAGCAAGTATTAGTCTTACTTTACTAACGTTAAAACTCTTTGTAACATAATGATTGAAATTGTATTGTTAATTTTGTATATGAGTCATAAAATTGTAAGTAGTCTTTCTAATCTTGGAAGGGTTAAAAATACAGCTTTCTATATATAAATTGGCATTTGCTGCTGTTTGATTCATGGGACACTAATTATTTATGAACATGTATATTTTATCCCAACTACTAACACTGCTTTTAGTTTTAAAAGATTCCAGTTAAATTTATATAATGCCATCTAATCATTTTGGTCTATTTGATAAGTTATTTTTTCAATTGATATAAATTGAGATGGCAGAACTGATAGAAGAGTATGTTTTTCAGATCCAAAATTTGTTGTTAGAATAACATATGGCAGATAATTATTATGATACAGGGACACATTCAGCATCAAACACAGTTGTTATAAAATAGCTAATTAGCAAGTAAGAATGTTGGTCAAACCTTTAACTAAATTTGAGTTTTACGTACATACGCTGTTTTTGTTTGTTTGTTTGTTTGTTTGTTTGTTTTTTTGAGACTGAGTCTCGCTCTGTCATCAGGCGTGAGTGCAGTGGCGCAATCTCAGCTCACTGAAACTTCAGCCTCTTGGGTTCAAGCGGCTCTCCTGCCTCAGCCTCCTGAGTAGCTGAGACTACAGTCGCGCACCCACATGCCCAGCTAATTTTTGCATTTTTGGTAGAGGCAGGGTTTCACCATGTTGGCCAGGATGGTCTCCATCTGTTGACCTCACGATCCACCAGCCTCCGCCTCCCAAAGTGCTGGATTACAGGCCTGCCCCACAGCGCCCAACTGAATATATGCATTTGTGTGTCTTCAACTTTCTCTAGAATTATGTTCAATTGGCAAAATATAATGCCTGTGTTTATTAATGTGATATATTTTAATAATTTTAAAACAATAACACTGTTACTAAATCCAATAAATATCTACAGTCTATATATAAATTATTTTATCAAATTGAGTTAAGAAATACTGGTAAACGTTGACAAGTTTAAACGTCATTTCTTTTTCTTTCAAATCCTTTATCTAACATTTTATGTTGATGAACTTATCTAAAATATGATAATTTGCTTTAAAATTTCTCTCAGGCATACCAACAGTTTCTGGTACCTGTAAATATGGGTACTTCATGATAAAATTATCCCATTTTTCTTAAATTAAATACACAACTACTTTCTACTTTCTAATAGAAATTCATAAGATAAATTTAATTGAGAATTGCTAAAAATGTTTTCTAAAACTAAAAAAAAAAAAAATCAACCAAAATGACTTCTTAAAACACATTTTCTCTATCACTGAAGTTAAAAATTGTCAGTTTGAATTCAAAAAGAATGAAAGTTTTTTTCTGAGTGGCACATTTGTGAACAATTGTAAATGTTGTTTATTTTTTTTTGTCTTTACTTAAGGATTTTAGAATGCCAAGCTGACATTTCGAGTTGTTATGAGAAGCCAGAAAGTTTGGTATGAAGACCTTAAATAGTGCATCTGACTTACAATAAGTCACAGTAAGTGTCATCGAATTTAGCGTCATGAATTTCTGAACTGTAGGCATGTTTGTTTTTGACACCAATAAAAATGTGACCTACCAGCTGTTTAAACATTGGACCTCAGAATTAACATAATTTTAATTCACAAGGCATGAACAAAAATATTCTGGTATTTTAAATTTTACAGCTATACACCATGATCTCAAACTGCTGTAGCACTTCTCATACAATGTGATGTTATTCATTCCCAAGTTAACGTTACTTTAGAACTTTAGAAACAAGTTATTGAAGCAGTGTTTCAGACAGAGAGCTTGAATACAAATGTGTATCTGCAGAACACAGGGAGTTTTACCTGATTTCTCAGTTGTCATGTATTTTCAGAAAAATCAGTTTTTATGGATCAATAATTTTTTATCAGATCCTAATTGATGACTTCTCTACATTTTATTCTCGATATATTTGATAGTGTTTATCACCAAGCTAAATCTTTTTTCCATTTCCTGCATTAAAGATGTACTCACCCAAGTTCAATCTGCTATTTACTAATGAGGCCAGCAGGTGGTGGCAGTGCACCACAAAACCAAAAGAAGAAAAACTAGCTGTAGTAGTCGTACACAGCAGTAACGGTTAACGTTGCTCACTGAGTAATTACAATACTCTGGATATTTTGTAACTGTACCATTTAATGATCACGATAGTGAGTTAGATGTTATTATCTTCATTTTATAAATTATAAAACAGCGTTGAAGAATTTAAGTAAATGGCTTAAATTCATGCCATAAATGATGGGTTTAAAATTGACCCCCATATGGTTTTACAACACATATCTCACACCTTCTTAATACCTGCGTGATACTGTCACAGATATGCGACTGAGATTCCTCAACTTGCATTTGGATCAAGTATACAGTTTTAATTATATAATCTCCACTCAATTAACAGCATTCTTTTTTTTCAAACATTCGCCTTTATGAAACTAAAAATGGTTTAAATGACAGAGGTAGGTGGTAATTGTATAGAAATTTTCTAGGAAAAACATTAAGTATTAACTTTTATGAATTATATTTTGTTAATTATTAGGTGATTATTTGTCTTTATTCACACTTTAATGCATTTCTTATAGAAATCCTGTGTAAGAACATTCTTTGTGCAGTGATCCTGTGGCCCACACCTGAGTGCAGCATCCCAGGACTCAAGCGATGACCAGGCTTGGTGTGTAACCTTTGGGCCATGCCACTCCACCCAAAAGGACGTAAATCTGCCTTGGTTTTCATTTCTTATTTTGGATAAACCCTTTTGGATGTTAATAATTGTGTGGTGACCATGTGTTGGGCACTGTGCTGTCACTGCAGATATGACAGTTTATAGAGGACAGCAACTCCTCCTTCGTGGAGCATACAGACACTCAGGACTTACACCGATATTCAGAAAGTCCTGGGTGCTGTGCAAGTGAACAATCGGATACCTAAATTATCCTGAAGGGGTCAGTGATAACTTTCTTGAGGCTTGAAAGAAATGTTTACAGAGGTAAGAATTATCTGACAGCAGTCATGAGAAACAAAACACACACAGGCAATCTAAAAGGAATTTAATCTGATCTAGCCATATAAATAGAATTATGGTTTGTATTGAATCATTTGCACTTGATACCATAAATTTTATGTCTCATAGTCTGAAGGTTAGAATCTTGCCTTCCCCTCCCCACTGCCCCGTGTCCTGGGATGCTGGATAGAAGGCTTACTATAATATTTGATGCCTGAGAACATGTCATGCCCCTGACTGTAAGAATACTCATCCTCTTAGAACTTATTTGTGGCTCTCGGGCTTTCAGTTAACTTACTATCTAAGAGTCCACATGCTGCTTGCCTCTAATGAAAGGATTTGATTTTTTTTTCTGGCAGGGAAGAACAAAGACAGGTACTTTTTGCCTTCTCTGTGTCAGAAAATGTGCCAGGTGATTTTCCACTATTTATATTAAAACTATAGGAAATTAGTTATTCATTACAGCTTAAGACATTGGGAGTTAGAAAGTTTAAATAATTTATTCAGTCTCACAAATGTACTGGGTGGCAAACCACACCTGCGAACTCAGGTCTGTCTGATTCTAAACCCTACAAAAGACACCTACCTTTCACTAAATGTTCCTCTTAATTTTCTCTCTCCCAGCCCAATGGAATTGTTTTAAAAAGTGTATTACCACTGTTTTTATTTTCATTTTTGTCTTATCTGGAAGTTAATTCTAGATTATTCTCCCTGCTGATTGTGAGAGAAGCAATGAAATTCGATGTTTTTTTCTATTAATAATAGTAGCTTATTTCAATTAAATAATATACTTCTATAAAATTTTGGTATGATCTTAGCATCATGTGATAAATTGTATCACCAAAATAGAATTTTTTTTTTCAGTTGTGAGATCTGGTTACTGTAAAAATTAATTTAAAATAAGAACAGAATAAAATCAGATAAAACTGAAACTAGTCGGCAAAGAGGTCTGTAAGTCTAGCTTAAATATCAAAGTTCTTTGTTATCCATCTAGGTTTGGGAGCTCTCTTATGGTAATTTTAAATTCTGGCTTAATTACTGATGACTTGATTCTGGATTATTGGTTGACAGTGGCATCAGCAACAATTTCAGGAACTTCCTGGTTAAGCAGTATTCATTTTCTCAGTCCAATTGAGGAAAATTAGATTGGGACAATACAGGAAACACTTGGGATCAATTTGCTTCTCACTTTCCTCAAGTGAGGTTGCCTGCTTTTTCCCTGTTAGGACTTATTTAATCGTTAGAACTTTAACCTATCCCTTTTTGAGAAAAAAGCCAAATGAAGGATTGAAACTCAACTTAATGTTCAAATTCCTATTTTCAAAAAGGCACATTAGGGTTTTACTTTACTAAATAATGTTTCATCGTTAGGAAATTTTTGTAACACCACGTCGCCTTGCAAGAGCCCTCAGAGAGCCAAGCTTGAATGAATCTCCGTCCTCTTCCCATCAACAGCAGCACTCTCTGCACGCTTCTGTCACTTTCTTTTTTTTTTTTTTGAGACGGAGTTTTGGTCTTGTTTCCCAGGCTGGAGTGCAATGGCGCGATCTCGGCTCACCGCAACCTCCACCTCCCGGGTTCAGGCAATTCTCCTGCCTCAGCCTCCTGAGTAGCTGGGATTACAGGCACGCGCCACCATGCCCAGCTAATTTTCTGTATTTTTAGTAGAGACGGGGTTTCACCATGTTGACCAGGACGGTCTCGATCTCTTGACCTCGTGATCCACCCGCCTCAGCCTCCCAAAGTGCTGGGATTACAGGCTTGAGCCACCGCGCCCGGCTCGCTTCTGTCACTTTCTTTACTACATTATCCAGAAATAGACTGTCCACCCTTCAGACTCTTCTAGGGAATAGACAGATTCTTCAACACCTCATCTCAGCCATACCTGTTTCTCTAGCACCTTCCACAGTTTCAGGCCTAGAAGATGTATTTATTTAAACTTTACTAAAGCACACTGAACACAGTCATTTTAAAGCAGTATAAAAGATATAAAATAATAATGCATTTATGGAAATCTTTTTTACATCTTAAACTGCTATGTGAAATAAAGCTATCATTTTGTTAATATTCTCTCATTAAAACCAATACTTGAGATTTCTGTCAATAATTTACTACTCTGCTACAAAATGTTACTTTTAAGAAAGTTATTTTTTCACAATAACCATTATCATACCATCTTCTCTTTGCTCTATTTTTTATTGTTAATATTCATATTTTTAGATACAGAGTTTTACGGGATTGGAGCTAACTTATGTTACTAGATCTTTTGGTGTCCTGGTTGGCTAGATTTTTATATTAGTCTCGACTGGTAAGTTTTTATTTTGGAAATATGGGCAAGAAGCAGAAGAATAGCTGAAGCCTCAGATGTCTGAGGTTTCCTTTCTTCCCCACACTTTTCCTAGTCAAAGGGTGGCATCAAATGTCATAGGGATTTGTTTCTACCACATGTCGCTCCTTGCAATTGCCCAGAGTTACTCCAGTGTTTCACATGGTACACTGAATAAAAAAGAGAAGTCTTTAAGCTAAAGTTACTTGGTTTTGGACCGTTCAGAACACACGTGTGTTCATACACACACACACACACACACTATAATAAATTTCCAAAGAAAAATATCACTTCAATAACAACTGATTTCTCTCCACAATGGAAAAATATAATACATTTTTAGATTAAAATTGAGAGCTTTGACTAGCTTAAAAAGAAAAATGCTTCTAATAGTTTACCTGTCATAATTGTATAGTCATCATCTTCCTCAGAATCTGCATTAAGAGGGGTAGGGGCAAGATTAAACAGCAGGTATATGGAAGCCCAAAGTGCATGTACTTTCTTCATTGTGTAAACCATCTCTGAAATACAGAACGCAGGCATATCTAATAAACAAAGTGATAATATGGACTCATTTACAGACTAGTAAACATCATATGCGTACTTCAAACGCAAATTTCTATGATGTTGTATGTGTGTACACATACATTTCTCTGTGCATACTCCATGAGTCGTATTTAAAACGTATATGTAGTATTCAGAATTATGGGAAAACACACTCAGTGCATATATTTATTAATATTCAAGCAAACGGGTTATATTTCAACTTTGAAAACATAAATAAAAAGGACAATAACTGAAAGACATGGGTAAATACTGTTCATATAGCGAATAATGTATTACGTAAGGTCCGTTTCTGCATGCAGTTTCACTTTCCACATCTTTCTCACAGCTATTCTTTCTGAGTCAGAACTAATAACATATTTTTTGCGTTTTTTAAATTATTTCTTTAATGCAACTTCTCATTCCTGATTTATCGTTCCCTCTGCTCTAGTTCTTCTTCTTCTTCTTCTTCTTCTTTTTTTTTTTTATTTTAAGGAAACACATTTTCAGAATTTTCCTCTTTGTTTCCTTTAAAAAATATATTATTTACCTCAATTTCCGAACCAGGTTTTCTATGAGACAGCTGACAGAACGGCAGACAAAAGAAATGTCTGACATTCAGCTAGTCCTTTTCCCCAGTTCATTATTTCCCCAGTTTGGGGAGTTATCTGATTCAAAAGAGTTTCACGGAAAAGTGACTCTAAGTGATAAGTCATCACTCATCACGCTCCGAAGGAAACAGATTTCAGTAGGAGAGTGAGACTTTTCCTGTTTCAACATCACTTAAAGATCTATAGCCAAAAGGAAAGAAAGAGAAAGAAAGAAAGAAAAAAAAAAAGAAAGAAAGAAAGAGAAAGAAAGAAAAGGGCAGAATAAAGCAAGAAATCACCTCAATATATTTTTAAAGATGATTTCTTCTTTGGATTTAAAGGTAGAAGGAAAAGTGTAATGATCACACAACACAGGAAACAAACAAACAAACAAAAACAAAACAAAACAAAAAAAACCCCAAGAACACTTGTTTCCTTCCTGTTCTCAGCCACCGGTGCCATTCCAGTCAGGAAGGAAAGCGAGATCTTAGCAAATATTCACAAATGCAGGGACAGATACTCCATAAAAAACAATCTAGGGAATTATCTGGTTTTGTCTGTGGCAGATTACAGCTGCAATATACACTACTGTGGGTAGCCATATAATAATCAAGTAATACACGTTATTATGCTTTAATTTGCATTAAAATCACTAGTGAGATAACCTTTTTTTCTCACAGCACTTTGCAAGTGTTAACATACATTTGATTTTTAGTCAGTAGAGATGCCATATAGCTTGTAAATCATACCATAAACTATTTGAATTCACAAATACATATGTATGCCTCTTTATATAGCTACATGATTTTGAAGAATCTTTAAACTTCTATTCCTTATCTCATTTTTGAACACATATTTTTCAGTGATCTATTTGTTTTCACTTGATTATTTGAAATATACGATCCTCCTATACTTTGAGTATAAAACACAGAATACGTTTCGTATCACACAGTTCAGGAAGCAGGTTGCGTTTGAGGGCCTACTGAAGCGATTGAGAGTTAGGGCTCTCCATCCAAGAAGTTCCTCTCTTAAAAAATGGCGGCCTAGGATACTTCATTAACTTAGTACTTTAGAGTTTCTTTGGGTGCTAGGATTAGAAACCAACTCTGACAAATCTGGATCATCAGTTTACTTATTCTAGAATATTTGGAACAATCTGAGACAACAAGGTCAGGGTTGCACTGGTTCTCAGAAACAACTAGAGCTGGTGAGCCAAGCACCACCAGGTATTTCTCATTGTGGCTACACACCTTAGACAGCTTCATTCTCTCTTGGTGTTACCCAATCTTCTTGCATAGCATGGTGCATGATAAATGGACTATTCTGGGTTTTAAACCTTAAGAGTTTTTCCATCAAAATAGTGTGACTACTTCTCTTTATAGCCCAGGCTTAAAGAGCTTGAGACTAACTCTGATAGATTCAGCTTGAAACAAGGGCCACCTCTAGTACCAACCCATTTGAGCTGTAGGAGACCATCATGGATTTGGTGGACTCACAACCAGTCTGGGGTCAGGAATAAGAAAATGCAATCACATTGCAAATATTAATGAAACTATATGGTCTGGGTGGTGGAGGGGACACGTGTAACTCCCAGAAGGAGGAAATTGTTGCTTTCAGAAGGGAAGGGTGTTGGACAGATAAAACTATGACTACATACCATAGCAGGCCATAGCTAAATAATAGCATATGTAATTTTAAAAAAAGAAAAATAAGCAAAAGGAAAATAAAGTACATGAATTGCAGGAGGAATTAAATATCCAAATTTTTATTAAAAAATTCTGTCTGGTCCTGGGTGATAACAGATTCAATGTAGGTATGAATCCATGCACCAACTTCTATATACCATACAAAATATTTTTCCTTTTGGAAAACTCCAACTTTCTTAAAATTGCTAAACAGAGGTTTACAAAACACCATCTGTGGATCTCCTTCCCCATAGACCAGCAGATAATTTGATGTAAAGATCTGCTTGATAAGCCCATAATCCTGGCTTTCTAATAGAAACATCTCCTTTAAAAAATTGACTTAATTATTTAAAATAGTTTTATATTTACAAAAAAAATGAGAGAGCATACAGAGACTTCTCATACAACTCACACGCAGTTTCCTTATTAACATATTACATTAGTATGGTGTACTTATCATTAATATACCAAAACTGACATTGTTACTAACTAAAGTCCATACTTTAGTCAAATATCCTTAGTTTTTTCCTAACCCTTTTTCTGTTCTAGCAATCCATCCACCATACCAAATTCCTCTGGTTCTCATCTCTCCTTAGGTTCCCCTTGGCTATGACAGTTCCTCAGACTTTTCTTATTTTCGATGATCTTGACAGTTTTGAGTAACACTGGTCAAGTATTTTGCAGGGTATCCCCTCATTAGAATGTATCTGATGTTTTTACTCATAATTAGACCAGGGTTATGGGGTTTTAGGAAGAAGATCACAGAGGTAAAGGCCATTTTTTGTCACATTAAGACAGGATATATATTACAAACATGATTTATGACTGCTGATAGTGATCTTAAATGCCTGGCTGGGGTAATGATTATTAGGTTTCTCCACTATGAAGTTACTTCCTACCCCCCACTTTCCCTGTGGTACTCTTTATTATTATTATTATACTTTAAGCACTAGGATACATGTGCGGAATGTGTAGATTTGTTACACAGGTATACATGTGCCATGATGGTTTGCTACACCCATCAACCCATTATCTACATTAGGTATTTATACTAATGCTATCCCTCCCTTCACTGCATCATCCCCTGACAGGCCCTTCCCTATGTCCATGTGCTCTCATAGTCCAACTCCCACTTATGAATCAGAACACGCAGTGTTTGGTTTTCTGTTCTTGTGTTAGTTTGCTGAGAATTACGGTTTCCTGCTTTATCCATGTCCCTGAAAAGGACATGAACTCATCCTTTTTAATGACTGCATAGTATTTCATGGTGCATGTGGGCCACATTTTCTTTATCCAGTCTATCATTGATGGGCATTTGCATTGGTCCAAGTCTTTCCTATTGTGAATAGTGCCACAATAAACATACGTGTACATGTGTCTTTATAGTAGAATGATTTATAATCCTTTGGGTATATATCCAGTAATGGGATTGCTGAGTCAAATGGCATTACTATTTCTAGATCCTTGAGGAATAGCCACACTGTCTTCCAAAATGGCTCAACTAATGTACACTCTCACCAACAGTATAAAAGCATTCCTATTTCTCTATATCCTCTCTGACATCTGTTGTTCCTGACATTTTAATGATCACCATTCTAACTGGAGTGAGATGGTATCTCATTATGGTTTTGATTTGCATTTCTCTAATGACAAGTGATAATGAGCTTTTTCTTCATATGTTTGTTGGCTGCATAAATGTCTTCTTTTGAAAAGTGTCTGCTCATATCCTTCACCCACTTTTTGATGTGTGTGTGCGTTTTCTGCGTATTTAAGTTCTTTGTAGATTCTGGATATTAGCCCTTTGTCAGATGGATAGATTGCAAAAATTTCCTGCCATTCTGTAGGTTGCCTGTTCACTCTGATGATAGTTTCTCTTGCTGTGCAGAAGCTCTTTAGTTTAATTGGATCCCATTTATCAATTTTGGCTTTTTTGCTATTGCTTTTTTGTGTTTTAGTCATGAAGTCTTTGCCCATGCGTATGTGCTGAATGGTATTGCCTAGGTTTTCTTCTAGAGTTTGTATGGTTTTAGGTATTACATTTCAGTCTCTATTCCAGCTTGAGTTAATTTTTGTATAATGTGTAAAGAAGGGATCCAGTTTCATATTTCTGCATATGGCTAGCCAGTTTTGTCAACGCCATTTATGGAATTCTTTCCCCATTGCCTGTTTTTGTCAGATTTGTCAAAGACCCGATGGTTGTAGATGTGTGGTATTATTTCTGAGGCCTCTGTTCTGTTCCATTGGTTTACATCTCTGTTTTGGTACCAGTACCATGCTGTTTTGGTTACTGTTGCCTTGTAGTATAGTTTGAAATCAGGTAGTCTGATGCCTCCAGCTTGGTTCTTTTTGCTCAGAATTGACTTGGCTATATGGGCTCTTCTTTGGTTTCATATGAAATTTAAAGTAATTTTTTTTTTCTAATTTTGTGAAGAAAGTTAATGGTAGCTTGATGGGATAGCAGTGAATCCATAAGTTACTTTGGGTAGTATGGCCATTTTCATGAGACTGATTATTTTTATCCATGAGGATGAATGTTTTTCCATTTGTTTGTGTCCTCTATTATCTCCTTGAAGAGATCTTTCACATTCCTTGTGATTTGTATTCCTATGTATTCCTTATGAAGTTTAGTTTGGCTGGATATGAAATTCTGGATTGAAAATTCATTTCTTTAAGAATGTTTAATATTGGCCCCCATTCTCTTCT